CATAAGCTGTCTTAAACCAACCACATGTCAGTGATGCCACGACTAAAGTTCATAAACGGCTCGATGGAAAGCCATAGGTGACCCAATGAAAATATTCCACTCCCATCTACAGGAAGAGCTATTATGATTGCACTGCTATTTGTTTCGGAAGCGAACTTGATGGAGTACAAAATATTTGATGGACAGGCAATATTTGTCAGTGAGACAGAGGGAACGATGGTTCATCGAAAAGAAAATGCTGCCAAATTTTCGTTTTAAAATTTACAGCTCCAGTAGATCTTTTGGGGGCCATGCAACATTTTGGTATGATGAGAATTGTATCGTCATGAGACAAAAGTCGAGACTTTTCCATAGACAGTCTGACGATTGGCCAGCGAGCCACATGGACAAGTCCGAGTGCCACGTCCGGTGTTCTAGGCGGAGAAACCCATCGCAATTGATCCGTCCTAAGGCAAGAACGCTTTTGTGCAATTCCTCTTCAACTGCCATTCCCATTTGAGGAAATGGCAGGTGTTGCGATCGGTCTGTCCCTTTTTTTCTCATTTCGTCTGCCCGTTGTAACCTAAGCAACCTTACAATGCGACTCACTGCGCACGCGCAGCTTTCCGCCTGAATCCGGGTGGTCCGTCTTCCACTAAAACATCCACTACCCCTCCAGCCATAATGGATGACGGATCCAAAGTAGACATTTGGAGAGAGCTGCTCGCGGCCGCGTAGGCAGGGTTGCCAGGCCTACGCGTTAAATTCCGCATCTGGCATCCGACACTTGATGCTATCCTCTCATCTTCACAAGACGCGGACGTGCGGACCATCTAAAACACGTCTAGTTATCTAAGACTTTTCATATACAGTAGGTCTATATCATATGAATGGCAGTTCCTATTTACTTCTATTTTGGGGCGAAAGATGAAGCGAAAATGATAATGCCAAAGACCCATTCGAATGGCAGTTGTGTAAACGGGCTGTAACTCTCCAGGCATAATTCCCTCTCCCCTATTCACTATCATGACAGACTTCATCACTGTGTCAATGAAGATACGGACTCGAGCTGTCCTTTCATCACGATTTACCGCTTGAGCTCTGCTGGAATTTTTTTACGAATATTTTTGAAAGAACCTCGGGAATGCAGCCCTCATTTAATGGAAGAATCGAAAACGACTCGTTTCTCAGGATAAGCAAGACTACCTGAGCACTCAACGGTACTAGCTTCCGCGAACTTCATCAGGATCAGATGACGTTTTTATTCTTGCGTGTTCCATCCCGTTATTGTAGCTTGCTTCACGATGCGACAAAGAATCGAATTCGGGCTCGTGAATTAGTCAAGCCATCGCCATTAGAACGAGCAACACGCTTTCGGTAACCACGCTCCGGCAGCTGCGCTCTGTTTGCTTTTTTAAGCTTAGGCAAGAGTTTTCTCTCGGCCTGCATGCTTTAGGTGGTTCCTGGTCCAAGAAACAAATGGGGCGCATGAAATTGGCTTACTTGAATTTTAAAATCAGCGAAAAAAAATTTAAAAAAAAAGAAGAAAGGAATATAGCTCCCTCTTAAGACTGTTCTTGGCCTCTGCATATACCTGGCCATTAAAGAGGCGCCGCTTTTTCTGATTCGTAGGCTGTCGGCAGATTAGAAAACGTAATCTCTCTTGCAATGTCAAACATTTACCTTCCAAACATCCTCAACTTTTTTCCTCTTTTCCCACTAATAATTTTCCTGAGGGACATGACAACCAGGTCGCGAATTTTACTTTCTCCTGAAACTGCTGTCCTGTTGCAACCTGCGGCGACTTGTGGCAACCTGCGGCAACCCCAAACCCAGGCGTTTTATCACCTAAACCTCGGAATTCACAGAACAAATCTTTGTTTCAGCTCGCTATTTCCAGCACAGACCTTCGCATCCTCACGTTATCAAGTCGAGATACCGGCCTCTTCTGCTTTATCAATGTTTGGCTTTCTCTCCCCATACGAACTTTTTTTTTTCGCAGCTGGTGAATCATGCTTTAAATTATTTCTCCCATAAAAATGTGTCGAGGATCGCTCTTTCAGGAAGATGAATTCGTGAGAAACGGATTCGAATGACTGGGTCTTTTTAGAGAGAAAATGAATACCATTTGAAAACGCACACCCTCTGTCCACCTGGTCAGACAAGCAGGTGGATCAGGGGTGCATTTTTTTTAACCAGGTGGACTTCCCCCTTCCCCATTGGAAATCCACCCATTCATTCGCGCACATTTATTCCGAATCTTGTGGATTTTCCCTCCTGGGGGGATTTTCCCCCTGATGAAATTCCCTCCAACAGGTGGAAATACCCCCTAGGGGGACATCCACCTTCTTTCAAGTCCACATGGGGGGTGGCCGTTTTGTAAGCATAATTACCAGGGGAAAGTTTCTCGTGTTACCTATGTACAGTATATTAAGCGATAAAGACTTTCAGAGAGCATCGCGTTTTTTTTGGCTAATCCTCTTTCTTCGCAGCCGCGTGCATGATGCCACCCCGGAATAAACTAGTAAACACAAAAGGATCGGCGGGGGAGATTCAGAAAGTGGAAAGCCTTTTTAGTGGGCTTCCTTTCCTGAAAGAAAAGAAATCATTTTTTGGTACCGTCCGTGTGTCACACTTTGGTTGTCCGATGATAACTAAAATAATATTGTCATGATGAACGCGAATGCTGGCAAGCGGATAGACATGAACAAGATACGGGCCGAGTTCGTTTTCTGGTGAATTTGCGCCGAAATTCGCATTTTTATTGCAAATTTTCAACTTGAAATTTGGTCACGGAGAAGAAGGCATGAGTTCGCACTTCAGGTTCCGAACCGCAATGCGCATGCGCGTACGACCCAGGCCTTTCGGGTGCGGCGCCGTGTCAGCAGCCAGAGCTGTCAGTTCTCTACTAACCTTCGTGGCGGATGGATCCAACCGCGCACAGCGCTCAATTCTCCTATCGCCGTTTCACGGGCACCGTTCGTCTATGTTTACCAGATGCAAGTGAAAAATGAGGTTTTTTATGGTCGAAGACCTGAAGGAAATGGCATATTGTTTAATTAGGTGACAAAATGAGGGTTTCCTTAACTGAGAGGAGGGCCACTACTAGACGGGGCTTGCCCAACTGGTTTTAGTTTTTTTTTTTTCCTGCACTGAACTATGGCCATAAACTTAGGGGGAGTGATCAATCGAATCATATCAAAGTGAGGTTTTTATATCGACTGGCTGGTGTAAGACTTCGTAATATGGTGCCAATTGTCTCCATATGTGAGGGTCTTCAGGATTAGCGGCTACTTCTCCAGATGAAGAGATCCCAATTCTTCAATGAACCCGGGTGGCATTGTCCAGGCAGTCATTGATCTTCAAATTTCCAAATCTGATCAAGTCCCCTTAATTACTCGTTCGGAATCTCAATTTAAATTCAAATATATCGAAAATCACAGGGAATGTCGAATTACACATTTCGGCATATGACAGCGAATCAAATATTTATTTAAGAGTAAATAATTGAGAATCGCTTAAAATCTAGAAAGGGCGCACCTTGGCAGCAAACTTCCTTCTGAGAATTCTGCATCATTCCAACGGCCAACTCAAAATATTACATTCGTGCTGCCGACAGAATCGCTCGCAGAATCACAACGCCCCACGAATCGTCAGGCTGGGGGAAAACCATTTATCGCGAGCATTCTGCGTTCCACGAAGCCATAAAGACTGGAGCAAGCTCATATTCAGGTCGTTTGGCTCCTGCTTGAAGAAGATATGGATGATCCAGGGTTGGCAACAACGTTTGAGATTATTTATAAGGATTGCTATGAGAAAGTTTATAAGAATTTAGCGAACTTTGCACGACATAGTCCAGCTCCGTATTCGGTTTGGAAGTAGTACACCAAACCAACTTGATTCTGAGCCCATGTGTAAGGAAAATAAAGGGGTGAGCATTTCCCCTCGAGGAATCTAGACAGGAGAAGAAGAGACAAGCCAGGCAGTCACTCTTTCTTCCCCAGCATTAAAAAGAAACACTTTATCTTCAGAAATGAGTTTTCTTTCTAATGAACTGTTAATGGAATCGAAGGAATGCTGATATGTTCTGCGGCATAAATCAACGGTATACACCCTCTCAATTGCGTCATCCAGTTTTCTCAAGAATGTTTCTGCGATATTGTGCCAGAAACACAACTTGAGCAGCAGCTCGGTTTATATCTACAATGGAAGCCAACAGAAAACCCAGTTGTCTCTTGACCTCAGTTTTGAGTGGAGAGAAAATGAATCCATTGGGGCTCAAATAGGGACTGTATGGTGGAAGGAATTCGATGAGATGGGATGGGAATCGGGGAATTAACCTTCGGTGAGCAATACACCTTTCCATGATAACGACAGCTTCGTTCTCTGGCCCTATCATGGCACTCATTTCATCGAGAAAGTGTCCAAAGATTCCTCAAGTGAGACCTCTATACAGCTTCTTCGACTGTATCAGGCCATGATTGGGAGAAATCGCCGAAAAATGGTCAACGAAGCAAGTCAATTCTGAATAAAGTCGTTTCTTCTTTCCATGCGGTGAAAGGAAGACATTGGGTTAACCGTCTGGTTCCTTCTCCCTCCCTCCCCTGTCTGAAGAAGAATTCCTTGAGGGGGAATGCTCACCCCTGCTCATCCCATCCGTAGAGGAGGCTTTTCCTTCCTTATACACGGGCTCAGAATCAAGTTGGTTTGGTATAGCTTGGACTGGATCAAAGTCGGGAACAAACGATGTTCTAGAATTCTTTTGTGATATGCAGTGGCGTAACGAGAAAGGGGGCAACTCCGGTCGGAATTCCCCCCCCCCCCCCACCGACCGACCAAGAAATGCTAAACTTAACTTTCTCCTCGGTCGCTTGAACACCTGCTTCTTTTTTTTTCCAAGTTGGAGGCGACGACCCTGCTCCCCTGTCCCCTTCGACGCCACCCTGCCGCACCACATCAAGAACGAGAGCAAAGATAGAACCCAACGGCCAACAATGCCACTTTTATTAAAGCACGTCAGATCATATCAAATACGGCAGAGACTCGATCTGCTGCGCCAACAGCCCCGTCGCCCTCTCCTGGAACCTCCCCCCCGCCTCCTCGTCCCTCAGTAACTCCCCGAACACCCGAGCCCGCTCCGACGAGCTCATCGGGTGCCCCACCAGTATGTGCTGCAGCACGCACTGCTCCAGCGTCACGCCCGGGTGCTCCTCCCCCACGAACACGCAGAAGTTCGGCCTCAGACGGAACAGCTCCGACAGGTGCTCCGGGTCGAAGAACCCCCTCAGCACCCTCAAGAATATCGTCACCTGCAGCTCCCTCAACAAAAACCGATCGCACACCTCCAGCAGCTGCACCGCATTCGAGATCGACAGCTCCGGCACCGCCTCGCACTCCTCGCACCCCGCCGAATGATGCACCACGTAAACCAACGCCTCCTTCGACGCGTGCGGCACCCCAACGACCGACTCCTTCGACTCCCGAAAGAACCCGTTGAGCATCGCATTCATGACCGGCGAGATCCTCGCCAGATCCAACCTCCTCCCCGCGACCTCCGACCCATCGTCCGCCTTCAGCACCACGTCGCACTCCGACTCCCGGAACGCACAGGACCTGGCCCCACCCCCACCCCCACCTTCACCTTCACCTCCACTCCCACCCACCACCGCTATCTCCTTGGACAGCAGAGCCAGCGGTTCCGACACACCCACGTTCCTCGCGAGCTGGCACACGGCAGCCACCGTCTGACGAAAAAGCGTGCTGTCTGTCGTCTCCTTGAGCAATGCCCACACTCGCTCCAGGACCTTGTAGCGGGTAAGGAGGAACTCCTGCAGCAGACCCCGAGACCTAAACAAGGTCAAGTAAGAATGGAAAAAAATATATATTGAAGCGAGTCCCGTAGAAGAGAGAAAAAAAAGGAATTGTCAGGCTTGCAAAATTCCCGAACGTAAGCGGCGAATGAACAGAAAACCGCCAGAGCATTGAAAACCAGCAGATGAATTAAGAGCGAAAAGCAATTCATTTTCGTGGTGTCAATATATTTGGAGCAGGAAGTTCAGCTTGGAATATTATAGAACCAACAACCTAAATCCCACACACCAAAATATAACCGAAAAGCCTAAAAATATATATATAAATCAAACCTTCCAACCAAACAGCATTTTAAAAAAATCAAAGAAAAGGCAAGAAACTTCTCCCACCTGAGCAGCGCCGGGATGGCCGCACACGTGGCCGCCTGCTCCGCCGCGCTCCCCTTGACCAGGCTCGTCACCAGCTCCCCCTTCCCGTAGTCCCTCTCCGACAGGCAGGACAGCACCGCCAGGACCTCCGAGCGGCATCCTGCCAGGATGGAGCAGGCGGGGCATCCCGTCGGCGGGTGGATCGGGTAGTCCCACCCCACCAGCTCCGACACCCACCCCTCCACCACGAACATCCGCATGTTCAACGGACTCCTGCGAGCACGACCCATTCACCCACGCGAGTCTCAAGGATTTCCTCCCGAAACATTCAATGCCAACTGAAGCCTTTGGTCTACATTGTTTGCATAGGCAAGCAGGAATTTATTGTAAATAAAAACAAGTCCTAACAATATTTCAAAGAAGCTCCGTGGGATGTCTCTTATTTGGCATTTTTTCACATATGGATCATAATCAATTTCATGATGAAATCCAGGGAGATTGGGGAAGGAATTGAAGAAAGGTAATAGGCGATAGCCAAGGCTGTAGATAACACCCTGAAGGAATGGGGGACCTTCTAAAATGAATTCATTCCAACCACAAAGGATCACAACTATCTGCATCCTCTCCCCTAATCATAATCCCTCCCCCCCCCCTCATAATTGAAAGGGCATTTCTGCCTTTTTGTGGGAATGCATCACAAATAGCACCTGATTCCATGCAATTGCATTTTAAATTTAGGGAATCTTCAATTATTTCATCCTTGAAAGAGTAGTTAGTTTTATATAGTCTACACTGAAAATGAATATACCGAGGTGACCCAAGGGCCACCGCGTCATCGCGGTCAAATCCGATTCGGTCCGGCACGTACCGGAGTCAGACTTAACCGTCGATCGAGGACGAACGGGAGAACTCACGATGCAAAATTGACGAGGATGCGGATGGCCAAGGAAGACGGGGAAGGCATGGAGGTGAGGTAGCGGAAGAGAGCGGGAAGGAGCTCGGAGACGTGCGACCCGGTGACGAGCCGGTGGGACTGCCTCTCCCGCTCCACGTGGGAGATGCCGAGGAGGAGCGAGAGGGCGTGCTTCATGACGGGGGGTTCCTTCTCCCACCTCTCGCCCTTTGCGACCCCCGGCGGGATCGCCGGGATCGGTCGAGGGAGCGCGTCGCGAGGCTTCTCGTCTCCGCTCGTTTCGCCGTCGCTCGCGCTGGCTGGACTCGCTGGGTCGTAAAATCACACACAATCCATTTCAGGTCGCAGAAATGATCCTTTCACATGTAATTGATTAGATTCGACTTGTGTGATTTATCGGTTTGTTATGCCAGGAAAAAATTATTTACAAAATAGCCCAGTCCAGAGAGTATCATCATGTGGTTCTCTGCCATAAAAGTCACAATATAAAATGAAACATCTTTGTGTCAGCTGGAAAAGGGTGAACTACTGTTTCCTTATCAGGAAGAGAGGTCCAAGTACAATGGAGAGAATGTATCACAGTATTATAATATGAGTACATCACTATATCACAAAATCCAAACTTACAAAAGTAATTTGAGGCAAAATGAAAGCATCAGTCCGAATTCAATTTCATTAAAATCCTCACACTCACACAATATTTCAACCATCCTATAACTACATCAGTCATGAGATAATCATGTGCATTGTCTCACAGAAGTAGCATAAATAGCAATAATAAAATCAGTGTAAAAAAATGGAGATGAGAGTCAGACTCAAGCTGAGTAATCCTGTATGCGGTTTAATGACCTGACATCAATCGATGGAGAAATGAATCTGAACCCGTGTAGAAGAGTTTTGAACAAATATCTTTGGCAAGGGGGAAACCAATGACCTTGACTGGAGAAGAAGAGAGGGGAGGATGGAGGCGAGATGCTCATGGGGGAAGACGGAGGGGAGGTGCTCATGCGGGAGCACGACGACGTGGGACTGGGAGAGCGGTCCCTGGGCGACAGGGATCCCAGGGACATGGAATCCCACGACAGGCTGGGGGACAGAGGCCTGAGGTGGGCCGGGCTGATGTCGTACGACCTCGACGATTTCAGCATGGTCCTGAGTGCGTGGAACAATCATCATGGAAATCGTCATGTACCACTACAATGTGCTTAGTATCTAATATGTTAAGCAACTTGAAATGAAATTCTATTTACTCAATCTGATCAACAGTTTCATGCCAGAGCTACAGAAAAAGGCTATAATTTTTAAAGCTTTTTACTTCAGTCACTGCAGTTGATGTATAGGGAAATTATTCCAATTGCATGATTAGGATCTCTGAGTCCACACTTCAGCGTGGGGCACATCATGCCAACACGGAAAACATGCATTAAAAAAAACGAGGTAAGATGAATGCGGCACCCAGCATACAGACCTCTGCCGCACTTCATGCTGGTTCTGGAGCATCCTCTCCATGCGCTGGACGTACGTCTCCTCCTCCTCCGACGCTCCGAGGTCGCTGGTGCTCTCCTCCGGAGCCTCCTCCACGGCATGTGGCGCACGGCATCGCTTGGTCCACTTCTCTACGATCCGCACCAGGAGCGGGATGATTCCTGCAAGCACGGGGCCAAGTATTCGCCACAGTTAGATGACATTCATCAAGGCAGGCAAAGGTTATTGTCAGTGGAAAAGTAAAAAAAGGACATTTTTGAAAATCAGTCAAGAATAATTATAAGATGCTTCAAGGATGCCAAACAAAATGTCATGAAGAACTGAGTGATATTCCCTTTCCATTGGTTTTCAAGACAATCCAAATTGCATGAAATGCATCCAGAAAACCAGCAACAAAAAATGACAATTGCATTTCCCGAATCTTTCCATATATTCAGTGAACCCTTGTTCTTATTGACAGGTTAACTCATATCCCACCAAAAAAAACCTGAAATACTCATTGTAAGCTCTGTTCCCTGAGAGCATCTTGCAATTTTACATAACCTTCTTTGTAATATATGACCATAATAGGCAATATATCTCAGTCAAAGCCAATGAGCATTGCTTTTACAGTAAAATACTGACGGCTGAGGTAGGTAGGTACATGGAAGTGTAGTGAATAGAAAATTAGTAGTCAACATGTTACCATCCTAATAAATGCTCTGCACAGAAAAGCCTCACATTTCACAGGGAGCCAAGCTCCAGAACGAGGCGAGAGGAAACCCACCGAGAACGACGAGATACCGCAAGGAGTCGTGATTGTGGGTGAACTGCAGGAGCGCATAGACGACCTTCTCGTGCAAGCCTTCCATCGAGTCGTCGCTGAGGATCCACGTGAACATGCTCAAGCCGTTCTTCTCCTGCACCGTCCATCGACACGCCGGTTCCAGGGCGAAGTTGCACAGGGTGTTCGTCACGGCCACGATCTTGCCTGCGACGAGATGACCTGCTCGTACACTCAATGACCTTTTAACCCTCATCCGGGCAAGGGAGCGTCCATTGGACCCCCTCCCAGGGGATATTTCACTTCATTACTCTCTGCAATTTTTTCAAAATATTTTTCAAATGTAATATGGGTTTCATAGACAGTCATCCATAGATTCAATGATGAATTTGTAAAGTTTGGAGTTGCTTTTGAGGAAAAAATTCTAAAAATGTTTGGCCTTGCCCATTTGTGTTACAAAAATATAATGTCCAGGTAAGGTTTAGAGTAGATATCACATAGCTTAACATTGTTAATGGAAGGCCAAATGTGTGTGTAAACAGAAAGATAAGGCATGAATGAGAATGATTCCAGTAGTCTCATTACGATGCAGGAAGGTCTCCTCGGAAGATTTGGTCTCGGCAAACTCACCGGACGACTGGCCCGTGTTGGCCGCCTCGAGTTCCTTGATCACGATGGGGATGGCCCTGGCTTGCTTGAGGGGGAAGCACAGGGAGGAGGAGGACGACATGTCGAAGACGGCCGACAGTGCCGCCGAAGACACCTTCTGATTCTTCTTCTCGCAGAGAGAAACGATCCGAGGAAGGCACTCGCTCTCTACCACCTATGGAACGATGGAAGCCAGTTAGAGACAATATTTTTGCACATAGTTCCTATCAACTTTCAAAAGAGACTTTAATATCTCACATTTATAAATAAAAAAAACATTTCAGGAAACCAACTCTTCAATCTAATATTAAATTCATTTCGTCATCCAGACGAAAACAATCCAAACTGCACGCACGAGGCTGGAAGTCTGAGGCGAGCAGTCGCCGGTCAGGTGGACCAGGGTTCGAAGGACGTCGATCACGAGATCCTCCGATTCGGATGCGAGGAGCGGGGAGAGGGACTTGATTGCGCCTAGGCGTATCACAGACTGTTTGTGACCTTTCGTGTCTGCCAGAATCCTGCATGAAAATGAATTGAAATTGTGGTATCTGGATTACTCACCACATTCCCATTTTCATTTCCAAAATGTCATGGTGATTCCTACTTATGTAGCCTAACATCTTAATGAGGAGGATACACACCATCAACTTTTTTTGCATTGGCATCAGGTTTCAATTGCATCAACACGAAATTCATGGAATAGAATTGCCATATTTCAATTCCTAGCCCTAAAACCTTGCAATATAACTTAGTCCTTCCCCAAGAGATATTCAAGAAATTTGCTCCATAATGATGCCATTCATTTCATGAGGGGGAATATCCTATTGCTGATTGCTCTGGCAATGACAAAGTCCACAGTGAAAAACTTTTAAAACAAAAATTCATGTCACTGCAGCACATTAAAAAACTCAAAGCTCTCCCTTGCATTTCCAGCACAAAACACTCAAATCTGGAAAAAAAAATCCACCGATACCTCAACCCTCGGGCGGCCATCCTCCTGGCCTCGACCGAGTTGCTCTCGTGGATCGCGGCGACGAGCATCGGCACGACGCCGCTCTCGTGGAAGCACTCGGCGCTGCGGGCGTCCAGCGCCTGGTTCCCGATCACGCGGCAGATCCGGGCCTGGATGCTCGAGCATGCCAGCTCCTTCAGGATCAGGACTAGAGACTTTAAAGCTCCTTTTGTTTCTCTCACCTGTTGAGAGAATTACAGGCTGGTAACAAATCTTGAAGTAACTGATTTTATTCTTTACTGATGGTCAAGGAAGAAGATGAAGGTGAGCGAAAGCAAAGGAAGTTGAAGGAAAAAATATTACTAAGCTTATTGCAATTGCCTATGAATATAATGACTTTGTTAGGAAAACGTGATTAATTTCAGCCTGAAACTAAAATATGGGATGTCCTCACTTTCAACCTGCAGGTCTTATTGGTGCAGCAGTTCCCCAGGATGCTGAGAGAGACGTCCAGGACCGTCTGGTTGGTATGCCCCAGGAGTCCCAGGATGGCCTCGACCCCGCCCGCGTCCATGAACGCCCGGACGTCATCGTCATTTCTCATGAATCCTTTCCGGATCTTGGTCAGGGCCTCCACGACGGTGAGCCCGTTGTCTGCAGGCGATCGGAGGCGATGAACGAGACCGTCCACCTCATTCCGTGGCTCGATCATCGTTCAGCTTGGACCATGCACATGTGGGCTAGGAGAGGCGGCTGCCATCGCAGAACAACCTAAACGGAACCGGAACATCCAGCGGGACTTTCCCGCGGCCTCACCGTGACACGCCCGCCGTGCGGCGACTAGAAGCGACCGCGGTACAAAAATTCGATAACGCGATGGTAATGGATGCAAAAACGTCACTTCGTATCTCCCGCGGTACCACATCTGAAGAACCGCGGTCCTAACATGGCGACCGCCATGTTGGAAATATGTCGGAGTCCAGGCCTAACGTGGTCTCTGGCGACGGGACGCCCATGGCTCATGATTCCATCATACCTCTCGAAAGCTTAAGCTCTCCCGGGGAAATCGCTGAGGAAAGCCTCATGGACGAAGACGATCTCACGCGCTCTTCGACCGACTTCTCTCTCGCATCTGAGTCCACCGTCCAAGGTAGGCCTAACGCTTTGTAATGGTGTTTGTTGAGGTTTATATTCTTGAGAGAAAGAAAAGGAGTTTACTATAAAGCTCACACCATCACAATGATTAAGAAGAGAAAAACCAAAATAAAAAAAAGGGAGGTGGTGAGAGTTTGGTGAATCCTACTGTGGGCCTCAGCCCAAACCTGATACTTAAATATCAGGTCTAGATTTCTCAATGGAATTTACCTAAATACGCAGGCCTAATGAACAGAGATTCACTTTTTAATAGCAAACAACAAAACAACTTGATTAACAGATCACACACTTTAGTTGTCCCAGGCACATTGGAATAACCTCTATATCAACTCTTGACATTGTTCACAACTGTCGAATGGGCTAGGGTGAAACGAGTCCTGATACTGACAAGTGATCAGTAGTTCTCAATCCTAACTTCAGGCCTCCAAACAATGGGAGAGGGAGTAACTTGAATCTTCTTGAAGTAATTCAGCTTGCCAGCAAAAACTAATATCACAAAAAGCAGCACTCTGGATGCAGTCATTGGAGATCATGAAAAGATGATTACTAACAACACTGGAGCAGCTTCAAAGTTCGGAAAAAATGTTTTCCAACCATTACCATTGCTGCAATGTATTTAAAAGAGTCTAGTCATATCAAGCAAATACTTAGGCCTAAAACAGCAAAACATGGCTCTCCTAGACCTATACAAAACAGAGCACCAACATCCTCAAGGCATCCACTCAGAATAGACATATTATATATGTATTACCATCAAGGGCCCACATAAACATGGGTGGTAGTGATGCCATTACCCCATCAAAGCTACGTATGACAGCGGCCGAAATTGTCGGCTTGAGTGTGTTGGAATAATCAAAAGCTCAAGAATTATTGGAGAGCCAAATGAAAGGATTGCTTGTATTGCAATAGAAAAAGCTCCAGGGAAATAGGCCACATTGGCATATATGTATAATAAGTTTATTTCTGTTCACTTACAACCCAGACCTATTAGGTGCAGCCTGAGGAAAAACATGATTGCAAAGTTTTGCACTGAAACGAATGTTCTGCTTATTGAAAAGCCTTTTCAGGGTATCACTTGACTCAGATACTCAGGCATTTATTTCCCAATTATTCAATTGATGCTGATGCTATTGCATGCCCATGTTCACCAGTGGCTTTTCTTCTGCCATCTCCCTCAGGTGATGACGAGTTTGCAGCTCCTTTTTCGAAGAAGCACAAGAAACACAAGCACAAGAAGCATAAGAAGAAGGAGTTGCCCAGCGAAGACCCAAAAGGAAAAACCCCTTTGAAACTCACCATCAAGTTCGGAGGGCTCACCGTAGGGGAAAAGAGGTTTCGGTCTTATTTGTGCCAAATTCGTTTCTTATAATCTTCTTATAATTTTTAAAATCATTTTTGGAAAACATTTCAGCGTCGGCCAGGATGAGGTGGCTGGCACCAGCCGGGGAAAAGGGAGCAGGAAGAAGGTGGACATCGAAGAGGAAGAATGGCTCAACGCGATCGAGGCCGGAAAACTCGACGAAGTTCACTCCCTCCGCTTTCGAAAGCTGTTTCGAGCGATCCCATGACCGAGTTCCTGATGGAAATTATTTTCTCTTCAGGTTGACAGTGAGTTGAGGAGCATGAAGGACAAAAGGTTCATGACGGCTAGGCAGAGAGCCCTTCACGAGCGGAAGACCGAGGGCCCTCCGCCAGGCGAGGACTCGTCGACGATGGGTACGTGCGATTCCTCAGAAAATAGCTAATTCTGTTCGTTTTGTGGATACGGTCACATGCATTTCCTCAGGGAGCTTTCCGGAGAAGGAGATGACGGAGGAGATGGTCCAGAAGAGGGCCCAGCAGGCGGAAAGGCGGCGGAAACAGGAACACGAGAAGAAGGAGAGGACCAAGATGGAGACGGTGGAGCGGCTCCTTCGGAAGCGGGACTCCAAGACCGTGCGCGCGATCAAGGGCAGCAAGGACAAGTCCAAGTTCCAGGGCCCCATCATGACCTACAGGTCCAGCGTGCACGACGGAGCCTCGATCACGATGCCCAAGAACATGGCTTTCCCCCTGAAACCTCAGTGCCCCAAGTACACACACGTGCCGTTTTGGTGTCTAAACAAATCCTTGATGATTTCACCGTGCTATTACTCTTTCCAGGAGTGCGCCAGAAGCCCGTCTCTGCGGCGTTCCCGGATGCACGAATCCTCGGAAATATGCCTGCTCCAAGACTGGAATCTCCCTCTGTGGACTTGAGTGTTATAAGAAGAATCTCCTTCTGTACAAACCATCAGAAAGTGTTCTAGTTGCTTGACTCAACCAAACCCATTTTGTGTTCAAATTTTCGCATATAAATTATATTTGCAATTATTTGAAACATGGCTCCTTTCCAATCACTTTCATATATTTTTGCAGCCAGTGACCAAAATGGGCTAGGCCCAGGTGCTTGCACTACTTTCTGCACCCTGGTTCCCCCAAGAAAGCAAACCTCTTTGCAGCTCCGTTTATTTGATCATTGTTCATTCGTCAATTTCAGCCTGCTTTGTCCAATTTGATTCACGAAAGGTAATTATGGGAGGCAAAAGACCATGGACATTTGACTCAAAGGACCGCATCCTGCTGGTGGGAGAGGGAGACTTCTCCTTTGCGGCCTCGCTCGCCAGACTGCACCCCGGTGTCGGCATCGTTGCTTCCACGGTCTCGACCGCGATTGACAGCCTGGAGGCGGTGCAGAATGTCGAGGCCATCAAGAGCCAAGGAGGTATCGAGGGATTTTTTGTGTCCTAGTATATTTGCATCAATATGGACCCTTTTCTTTAATTCTTTGACAGATTAAATTATGTGAATCTCCAGATGGATCTGTTTAAGCAGTGTAAGGACAAGGAATATACTTGATAAAATTGAGGTCGTTTTAAAATATCACATCACGCAGTTTGAGCAGATTGCAAAAATGAACTGCTGAATGTCTAGTATTCCTTGTCAACTAATTTAATTACATTGTGCAGTGGTGATGAGTAAAGATGGCTGACCGATAGATATCAGGATGGAGTTCTATTGCCATGGTCCGCATCCTCGTCTCGTAATCAGTTCGTCTGGAAAAAGAGATGAAAGGAAATGTAAATAAGCACTCATGGAGTTTTTTCTGTTATCCCATCTTAATTCAGTAAATCAATGAGCATCATTGTTTATCCTCAGGGATGACTCAAAGTTTTCACCATCACAGGTGCCGTGCTGTGCGGCTTGGACGGGAAGAAGCTTCACAAGTGCCCGTTCCTGCAGGAAAGGCCACGTTTCACTGCAATCGTTTTCAACTTCCCTCACTCCGGAGGAAAGATGCGAATGGACCGGAATCGGCACCTCCTGCGCCGCTTCCTCGCGAGCGCGAAGCGAATCCTCGATCCGGGAGGGAGGATCCTCGTGACCCTTTGCGGCGGGCAGGCCGGGGTCCCGGTCGACGTTCCGTCGAGGGAATACGGGAACACCTGGCAGCTCCCCACGCAGGTCCTGCCCTGTCCATCTTGATTATGACACATTGGACAGTTCTCGGTTTAACGGCTTGATTTCACCCTTGCCGATTCAGCTGGTAGCATTTTCTGATGGTTTGGCATAGTAATACATACTTCCTTTCTTCCTTAAATTTGAAGTGGGATCAGTTTAGTGAAATGGTGGCAAGTGACTGTAATTCATTCATTGGCGAAAGACTTGATCTTTGAAAAAATGCAGTTTAGGGACTTACTCCCTTTCAACTTGGGTTTTTGCAACCCAGTTCTTTGTCATCACCAGCAAATTTCATTTTGGGACTGCTGAACATTCTGCGCATTTGAAACTCCTTATTTTCACTAACTGTTTTGCTCAGCCAGTTTTGCTTTGAAATAGGTAAGGGTATCTCAAGGCAAAGAAATGTCAGCATATTTCCAGGCTGGGCACATGAGGATAAAGGAAGGGGCACCACTTTGGAAATGTCTAAAAATTCCATGAAATTCAGTGCTATATGTGTTGCAAATGTCACAAGGTAATAATGTTCTCTCTTTTATGTATTTTATGTGTTTCTGTTAAAAATAGCACCTCATTTCCCAGATCAAATACAATTCTGTCAATGCATATATTACAGTGTTGAAATCACCATACCATGGTTAGATTCAAGAAATAAATAAAATACTATGACTATGTTTTGCCGTTATTTGTAAAGAATTTGCTTCAAAACTGTCACTCATATTAATACGATGGAAGTTTGGTGATCGGTTGATCTGAGAATGGGTTTGTCTGCCTGCAGGTTGCAACGTGCGGCTTGAGGATCACGAACGTCCACCCGTTCGACGGAGACGCTTTCCCCGGCTATCGTCGAACGGGGTACCGAAGCCTCGACAAAGGGTTTCACTCGTACGCCGCTCTCACCTTCGAGATCGGAGCGCAAGATGAGCCCGACTTCGTTCGTCGGCTGTGGCGGGAGACGAGAAACGTCCGAGCCCTCTTCTCGACGACCGACTCCCCGATGGCCGGTCTCGTCTCTCGTCTGCGTGACTCGGCACCCGATCTTCGCTGGCAGTGTGAAGATACTCTGCTGACTGAATTTGACCAGGCAAGATGCACCAGTCTGTGCGAAGACTCCGTGCTCCTTTTCGCCATCAGAACGAAAAGTGGATCTGTCCCAATCAAGCATTACCTGGCTGCATCCTCAAAAACTTTCCTCGGGCACTTCAGTATATTCCTAAACGAGTCTAAAACGATCGACGACTGCATCCTGCTCGACATGAATGCGGCCGCCAAGCTCCACTTCCGTCTGGAAGACGAACGGCAGCTGTGGTTCTCCCACGTCTCCCCGTCGAACTGCATCTCGTTCCATCACCTGTTTCCCCCCAAATTCACCTACGACATCAGCTTCTGGACCGACGGCGGTCACGAACCGGCGATGCAATCCTTCTCCCGACTGACGGCCGACCACTGGGACCTGATCCGCAGCTGGCGGGTCCTCGACCGCTACGCATCCCCGGAGGGAAGGTCGAGCACGACGATCCGCATCGCCTACGACAGCCCCCACCTCCCGCTCTCGGACTGGCTGGTCAAGTTTTTCCATCTGAAGGTGCTCAAGGCAAAGTTGGAAAGGGTGAAAGGTATCACTATTCGGTAAGAGAAAAGCATGCATTTGTGAAGAACGGGGCCTTCCGCCCTCTTACAAAAGAAGAGAG